TGTTCAACACGATGAAAATACAGTTCTCTTTTCTGTTCGTCTTGATCAAATATTGATTTTTGGTCTCCCATTTTTAGTAAATTTTGCTGGTCGGGTAACTTTGTAACATTCATTGGAATCTCCTTTTTAAAGGTTCTATTACCTTCGATAAACTCTTCGGAATTTGCAAGTGTAAATTTATAATAAAGTTAAGGAGGTCACGCGTTAAACTCCGTCTCCTTCCCTCCGAATGCGTACTCCGTCTAATATACTTTATATGTGAAGAAACGCAAGTTCAGCTCAATTATTGTATTCATTGCGTCGTCTCCATCCCTCCTTTATACACAAAGCAATTCCACTTCTTCTTCTTATTCCCCTTTGACGCCGATATGAAAAAGCAAGATAGAAGATCTTGTAACTGAATGTACATTTAAACATAAAATTACAGAAGCGCTTTTATACCAAGAGAGTTTACATATTTAACCAGTTTTCCCGAGGACAGTGTTGAAGGCGGATCTACGGAACACAACTGCACAATAATTTAGGTCGAAGTATTAGGTAAGGTCGTAAATGACAATTTTTATCTAGGTAACCCCACATTTTTTAAATATGAAATCTATGAGATAAATTGACCATTTTATACCCTTACATGGTGTATTTCATTCATTTAAAATAAATAATATCGCTGTTACCATTTATAGAGGATTCTTAAAAAGTTAAAATAGGCCCCGATAAGAGATGTGCGTTAAGAATAATTTTCCAATTATTGATTTAAAAATATGTAACATTCCTTTTATCCTGAATACTAATTTTTCTGGCGTAATTAAAAGTTTCGCGTAGACGCTTTTATGGCATATTATGCCTAACCAATTATTTTAAAACCTGTATCCATTTGTTCAACTTTTCGTTTTTAATATAACCATTTTATGAATCGCAACAGATATTATCGATCTAATCATTGAATGTCTTTAAACTCCTTATTAACAACGGATACGCCTTTTATTCTAAATCCTATTTCCCTAGCAGAAAATTTGTGTTTTCGTGCATTTTAAACTTACTGGGCCGGTTTAATTGAATATTCTTTCCTCGATTAGTAATTAATAGCATACTTTTTAGCTCTCTATTTTTCGTTAGAAAAACGGGCGTTGGATCTCTAGTGGGCAAATTTTGTTAATCGGGTTAGTCAGTTACTCCTAAATAATGAAAATGACTGTGAAAAATTATGTTTAGGGCTCTTGAGCAACACCTCTTGTACTCCCCTAGATGAAACACTCCCTCGAGCGTTATTAAAGTCTCCACGAAATATTAATTTCTATGTCGTAATTCAACTTTCGCGTAAACAATGTATAAGCATATTGTACCTACCCAATTATTAACGAGGTCCTAGCGATTTAATCATTTTGCAGTGTCTGCCCGTCCGTTAGCACGATATCTCGAAAACGAATAGGTGGGTTCTTTATCAAATTTATATCAGGTTCGTGATTTGGCAATGTAAATAAAAATAAGGAAGGCCCTTTTGACATCTCCTTTAGTTATGAACCGAATTGCGTGAAATTCAATATGGACATAGCTTTAACCATATAATACGCCGAAAGTTGAGCCTAATCGGATTCAACATTCATAGTTCCCTTTTCGCATCTCGACCATTTACGAACCGAATTACAAAATTTTTTGTGAAAACGTTTAAATGAAGTTTGATACTTAGGCATTTGGAATAAAAGCAAATCTAAATCTAACCCAGGTTCAAATCTCGTATTGTATCTTCAATTATTTCTAATAAAAAGTTCCATTTTTCATACTTACAATAAAATAAGAAAAAAAAAATTATCAAGTCAACCTCATTTAACAAAAAAATCTTAAATTGCAGGTACCTCTCGTTGCTTAATACATTCGGCCACAAACAGAGAGGTAAGTATCTTGGTAAGTGCAAGCATGTGTCCTGCCACCGTCACTTCCTATTATAATACGCATTCGACACGCACACACGCAAATAACATTACGAATGATATATTGTACGCCCAGCATCCCTTCATACGTGGAGGAGGATTGTATGCCGGAGAGGATCATGGTAAAATTTTCCAGCCTGAAACGCTGGTTGTGATTTTTGAAGATGGCAGAAGTCCGCTAATTGCTGGCTCATCGCGAATATCATTCGATCAGAACACTACATATTTAACAAACCGTACAGTCTTTCATACAGACCGCTCTTAAGCACATCACCATTGATGCGTGCGTCCCGGAGAAATATATCTCTCTGAAATATCGGTTAGACCCCCCTAACACGCCGGGCTGTGATTTTCAGTGATGATAAAAAGCTCCCCGCTGCATGCGCGTGGGTGTCAATCGGTCACAATACTATACCTTTGATAACAACATAAATGGTACCTCGCATGCACGTATTAATCCTGTGTGGTTTTACAGTCTATCTATATATATATATATAACAGTTTCACTAACCAGTCGCTTAAAGCTTGAGCTGTCGTAGTCTCGTTGGCTGTGCTATCGTATCTTCCCCCCTCTCACACCTAAATCAATATTGTTTTTTTTTTCTTTTCTTCTTGATCCTCGTAATACGTTGTCTGTTTTTGATATTGCTACCGATTGCAAATAAAACTCTTAGTGATGCTATTAACGTCGCTAGTGGTGTTTTGATCGTAGTACTGACTACTGAGTATTGGAAAGTAGAGAAGCAATTGTTGTCAAACTCCCGTGTTATTCTTAAAAGAATGTCTCCTCATATGCCATATAATCTATATGGGTAAGATGTCCTATGCACTCGTATACCGCGATGCAAACCAAGACGTGTCATGGAGTATAATTTTAGTCTGCTATGAAAAAGTACCTACTCTAGTTTTCGAAATTTTTCTAAAACAAATACTTCTATGCTACTTTTGTCAATTCAATCGTCATAGTTGCGAATACAATAATAATTTAGTAATTTATTACAGACCATTAACACAAATATCTATGCTGCTATCATTCAGTCGACGGTCCGTGTAGAATTGATATACCTAACTGAAATTTGGTGGTCCAGTCAGTACATAACGGTGCTTCGTTCAATAAACTGTAACGAGTTCTTGGTTAATAACTTTCAACATTTAACATGGAAAAATTTCTTATTTTGAAAGACAATACCCGAAAGGTACGACGTTTCAATTTAAGCGGCCGTACTTTGGAATTTAAGTTAAAGCCCATACCTAAAGATGCCAACCCCATACACTGGACAAAAGAAGCAATCACACAAATTGTTCATAAAGGTGTAGAAGGATTGTCTCCACATGATATGGTGGGTTTTTCCTTTTGTTCTAAAGATTTTAAGAATGGCGAAGGATGGTTGCAATTTCGAACTGCTGGCGAGCTTTCTGTTGGTGACATTTGGAAGATGATATCCTCAATTTATCAGTCCAACTCTAGCGGATTAAATACTGAAACGTTTTGTCTTCGAGTAACATCTGTGCGTTTACCCTCTGGAAACGGTAGACCTCGAACGTACAACAGCTATACGGAGGAGTGTAGTAGACGCCGCGGTATTGTGGTTATAAAAAACAAAGATAATCTCTGCCTACCCCGCGCCTTGATCGTTGGAAAAGCACACGCGGATAAAGACTCTGATTATAATCGCATTCGCGATAGAGCTACTGTGCAAAAGGCTAGAGCTCAACAGCTGGTTCAAGAAGCAAATGTAATAATACCATCAGGCGGTTGTAGTATAGAAGAACTACGAGGATTTCAGCAATATTTGGTTGATTATAAGATTACAGTGTATCAACACAATACCAAAGGCAGGGAAGTGGTGTTTGAAGGTCCCGAAATGAATAAAAAAATAAATCTGCTTTACGACGACAATCATTTCAACGTGATTACTTCATTAACGGCTGCTTTCGCGTGCAGCTATTATTGCGAACCCTGTCATACACCGTTCGATCACAAAAACAACCACCGATGTGAGGTTACGTGTGCTGCGTGTCAACAAACACCAGCATGTTCACCAGATGGAGATATCAAAATTAATTGCGAAAAATGTAAAAGAGTGTTTCGGGGAAAAACGTGTTTTGAAAATCACAAAGTACATAATATATGCTCCCAAATTAGTCGTTGTGAAAACTGTTTTGCTATATACCGCAACACCAGGAACCATATCTGTGGAGAGGTGTTTTGTAAGACGTGTAACTGCCATGTAGAAAGGGATCACCTCTGTTATATGCCTATAGATAGAGGTACCCCGAAAATAGAGAATACGCTTTTTGTGTTTTACGATTTAGAAACTATGCAAGAGCAAAAATTGTCAAATGGCTCTCTTTTACATCAACCTAATCTGTGTGTGTTCGTACAGTGCTGTGACAAGTGTATAAACGAAAAGAAACTATATTTTTGTCAAAAGTGCGGTTTTCGGCAAAAAATATTGACCGCTGATGTAATACCGACATTTATGGTACACATCTTAAACATGAGAAAAAAATTCAAAAACATTATCGTCGTTGCTCACAATGGTGGCGGTTTCGATCATCAGTTCATTTTAAACTACGTTCTAACACAAACCGACCTAAAACCAGACTTGATAATGAGAGGAACTAAATTGATTTCTATGATGTTAGAGAATATTAAATTTCTTGATTCCTTAAACTACTTTCAAATGGCACTGAGTAAATTACCTAAAGTTTTCGGTTTAAAAGAGCTAAAGAAAGGCTACTTTCCACATTTGTTCAACATAACAGAAAACCAAAATTATATAGGCCCAATTCCACCCATAGAAACCTTCGACCCAGATAACCTCAGGTGCAACGAGAGACAAGAATTGATGGAATGGCATGCGGGAAAGATAGCTGAAAATTACGTGTTTAACTTTAAAGAAGAACTTATAGAATATTGTGTATCCGATGTAGATATATTAGCACAGTCGTGCCTCAAATTTAGACAATTGATGATAAAGGAGGGAAATGTTTGTCCCTTTACAGAAAGTGTCACACTACCGGGGGCGTGTAATAAAATATTCCGTCGCGGGTTTATGACACCAAACACCATAGGATTAATACCAAAGGGTGGTTACAGACATTGTGACAACCAATCGAAAATTGCTACACGGTGGTTACTAATAGAAGAGTGCAAACGCCAAGTTGATATAGTACATTCCGCTAAGCAGAAAGAAGCCAGAGTTGCAGGTGTAAAAGTTGATGGTTTTTGTGTCGAAACCAATGAAGTATACGAGTTCTACGGATGTTACTATCATGGCTGTCCTAAGTGCTTCAAACATGCAAGAAACGTACCTCTATCGGATAATACAGCGGAGACGCTTGAGTACCGTTATGAAGCCACACTAGCAAAATCAAATAGATTAAAAGAATTGGACTACTCGGTTATCGAGATGTGGGAGTGTGATTTTCGACGGTTGATGACAAAGGAACTGTATAATTATACGGAAACACACCCTATAATGTCCTATTCACCACTCAACCCAAGAGATGCATTTTATGGAGGGCGAACAGGTAACGTGAAATCGTTTTACAAAGCAAAGCAAGATGAACAAATAAAATACGTCGATTTTACCTCCCTCTACCCCTATGTTAATAAATACTGTAGTTACCCTATAGGACACCCCACAGTATATATTGGAGGGGACTGTGGTAAATTAAATCTTGAAACGATAGATGGATTAATTAAATGCAAAGTGTTACCACCACAGTCATTATTCCATCCGGTGCTGCCTGTAAAAATGAATAAAAAATTAATGTTTGTTCTTTGTCGTTCATGCGGTGAGAGTTTCAACCAAGGGTCTTGTAAACATAACGACGATGAGCGCGCGTTAACAGGAACTTGGGTGATAGATGAAGTTAAGAAAGCTATCGAAAAAGGATACAAACTCTTAGTAACTTATGAGATATGGAAATACGACACCGAACAGTATAACAGAAACACTAAAACTGGTGGGTTGTTTAATGGGTATATAAATAAATTTTTGGGTATTAAACAACAAAGTTCCGGATGGCCATCTAATTGTGACACTCCAGAAAGAAAAGACAAGTATGTTAAAGAGTATTACGAAACCGAAGGTGTTCTACTTGATCCTACCAAAATTGAAAAAAATCCTGGTTTGCGACAGTTAGGAAAATCGGTGATTACTTCATTTTGGGGAAAACTAGGACAACGTGAGAATCAGAGTAAAACCACCATTATCAGACAGTCTGGCGAATTCTACAATATCATTACAAATCCTTCAATTGATATAAATTCTGTTTTGCCAATTAATGAAGAAACGCTACTTGTTAACTGGGAATATAAAGAAGAAGCTTACAATCCTTTGTCGACGGTGAATGTTGTTCTTGCCGCCTACACAACTGCTCATGCGCGATTAAAGTTATATGAATATTTGGAACGGTTGGACGATAGGGTTCTTTACTACGATACAGATTCGATAATCTACGTTTCGGCTCCGGAACTGTACGATCCACCACTAGGTCAATTTTTTTGGGCGAGTTAACCAATGAATTAGAAGACGAAGGTATTGGAAGCTACATCAAAGAATTTGTATCAGGAGGTCCTAAAAATTACGCATACAAAGCGTGGTCCAGCTCTAAGGGATGTGACGTCACTGTTTGCAAAGTTAAAGGAATATCGTTAACATATAAAACTGCTCAAATAATAAATTTCGATAAAATAATGAAAATGGTCCTTGAAGAAGAAGAAGCCATTCCGATCACATCTTCTCTTATAAAACGATCAACAGAACACGATGTATTCACAAGTAGCACCACAAAGCTGTACCGACCCAACTCCACAAAAAGACGCTTTGCTTCTGACGGTTCTTCACACCCATCTGGATTTAAAAAACTTAGGGTAGATAATGTCAGAATAAGTAACGACTTATGATCATTTTTACACTGCTCATATTTTGTAAAATACCTATGTAATGTATAATCAACCTATGTAACAAATTTTGTAACAAAAGTATAATAATAAATCTGCAAAGCTTTTATCTTATTGAGGTTTTCGTAAATGACCGCGTACACTACATTTGTACATATAAATCAACATAGGTATGTACCAAAGAGTTGCTCTTGTCTTAAATATAGTTAACACACATATATGAAACGTTCTGGTGGTCCAGTGTACAGGACGCTCGCTTCTTAATCGGACAACCCAGGTTCGAACCCCAGGACAAGAAAAAAGTTTTTCAGAATTAATCCAGGCGCAGTGCCTGTCTGACGCCCCATCCCTACTAGAGGCTCTTAACTCGTACGAAATACGCTCGCACTTCCCCAGTTAATCGCCGGCGGCGGGCCCGTATAGGTGAACGTCAAGTTCTCATAAAGCCATAACAATTGTATGACGCACATGACAGATACCCACGTAGAAGCTTAGGACCTCTCCTTAAACGGCCAGGTTAGAGAAGTAGAGGACTTCCCAGGTAGGTGACATATACCAAAGGACACAGTTCCCACGGTCTAGGATCTCCCAGGTAGCCGGCATATAACAAAGGAAAAAGTTCCCACGGTCTAGGGCCACACACGTAGCAGGAATACCACAAAGGAAAAAGTTCCCACGCTCTAGGACCACGCCCATATGGGCGGCATATATCAAAGGAAAAAGTTCCCACGGTCTAGGGCCACACCCTCGAAGGCGGCATACATCAAAGGAAAAAAAGTTCCCACGCTCCACAAAATTTTCCCACGGTCAAGTGCCGCAATACCTACTAACATAATTTAGAATTGTCAGATCTCTGTCAGAATCTCCTTTTCTTTTGAGGTAAGGAATTAGGCTGGGAAATTTGCTTATATCCTCTCCCTCATTTAAATTAATTGTCGATCGTAACATCGAGTACTTACTCCATAAAGAAGAACTTTTATAGGAGACCAACTCACTATTAAAGTACGCCAATATACAGTCTTCCGTGGTGCAATTGATTTTCTTCCCTAAGCACCACCTTCTGTATTCCCTGTATGCCGCCTCGTATACAGTTTTTGATTTGCTTGGTAAAAGCACCTCTCTGGCATTGCAGGCTAATTGTTGTATACTGTTGTACCCATCAATTTCTTCTGAACTCATCTTGGGATTCATAATTAGGTACAGAGAAATAGTTAATACCCAACGAAATTGACACTACACATCAACAGATTTTTTTTCCAAACAACACGTATCTATGACAACACAAAAGGCACACTATGTTATTTCTGGTTATTAAATAGTGAAATCTATACCAAATTTCAGCAAATTTTCAATACATACATGAACATAAAGCTAAGTATGTTACTCGTACATAATCAGACTTTACTATCTCGTCCAATAAAGTCATATATATTATGTACTTTTCTAATGAAAGGTGCGTTTACAGTAGACTTGGCGCATCTTAGTAATGAGTTCTGAGCATTAATTAGCCTCGTTTAATTATAGCTACCTCCCTTATTAAAAATACAGTAATTTTTTTTATTATTTTTGACTTCTTTGACCCTTCCAATACTTACCATGTTTCCGATGTTTTCGATCCGTCCGATCCTTCCGATTTTTTCGATCCTACAGATTCTTCGGATTCTTCAGATTCTTCAGATTCTTCGGATTCTTCGGATTCTTTGAACTCTTCGGACTCTTCAGACTCTTCAGACTCTTCAGACTCTTCAGACTCTTCAGACTCTTCAGACTCTTCAGACTCTTCAGACTCTTCAGACTCTTCAGACTCCTCAGACTCATTAGACTCCTTAGACTCCTCAGATTCAGACTCTTCAGACTCCTCAGGCTCGTCAGGCTCTTCAGAATCTTCAGATTCTTCAGACTCCAGATTTTTCAGATTCTTCAGATTCTTCAGATTCTTCAGATTCTTCAGATTCTTCAGATTCTTCAGATTCTTCAGATTCTTCAGATTCTTCAGATTCTTCAGATTCTTCAGATTCTTCAGATTCTTCAGAATCTTCAGATCTTCAGATTCTTCAGATTCTTCAGATTCTTCAGATTCTTCAGATTCTTCAGATTCTTCAGATTCTTCAGATTCTTCAGATTTTTCAGATTCTTCAGATTCTTCAGATTCTTCAGATTCTTCAGATCCTTCAGATCCTTCAGATCCTTCAGATCCTTCAGATCCTTCAGATCCTTCAGATCCTTCAGATCCTTCAGATCCTTCAGATCCTTCAGATCCTTCAGATCCTTCAGATCCTTTAGATTCTTCAGATTCCAGATTCCTCAGATCAGATTCCTCAGATTCCTTCAGATTCTTCAGATTCTTCAGATTTCAGATCCTTCAGATTCTTCAGATTCTTCAGATCCTTCAGATCCTTCAGATCCTTCAGATCCTTCAGATCCTTCAGATCCTTCAGATCCTTCAGATCCTTCAGATCCTTCAGATTCTTCAGATTCTTCAGATTCCTCAGATTAGTCAGATTCCTCAGATTCCTCAGCTTCCTCAGATTCCTCAGATTCTTCAGATTCTTCAGATTCTTCAGATTCTTCAGATTCTTCAGATCCTTCAGATTCTTCAGATTCTTCAGATTCCTTTGATCCATCTAATTATATAAGCCGTGAAATAGTTATTTTTGCTGATTGACTTGGTTCTTTTGGAAACTTGTTTTTATACCCTTTGGACTGTAGTTTAGTCTCTTGCTTTCTTGATCTCTTGTTATCCTGACTTTCTTGTTTTATTTTCCGCACTTCCTCATCTGGTCCTATCTCTCTCTCATCTCTTTTCTTGGTTACTTTCTGATTCTCCCTATTCGTTCGATTCTTTCAAGGATTCTTTCAACCTTTCCGATCCTTCAAATCAAATTGATTTCCGATCCTTTGATCCTTCTGGTACTTTTGATTCTGATCAATTGCATTCATACGATCTTTTTAATCCCTCTGATACTGCGGATCTTTCTGATGCTTCTGATCTTCCTGATCCCTCTGACACTCGTGATCCTTCCGATCCTCCCAATCGTTCGATTCTTCCCATCCCTCCGATTTCTCCGCTCTTCCGATCCTTCCTATGCATTCGATTGTTTCGATGCTTTTGATCCCTCCGATCCTTCTGATTCTCCCCATCCTTTCAAACTTTCCGATCCTTCCCATCGTTCCCATTTCTCTGCTCTTCCGATCCTTTCGATCTTTCCGATTCTTCCGATGCTTCCGATTCTTCCGATCCTCACGATCCTTCTGATCCTTGCCATTTTTCCAAACCTCCCGATTATTTCCAATCTTTTCGAAACTTCCCAATCGTTCTTATCCTTCCCATCCCACCCCTCCGATTCCTTACCCGAGTTTGTAGTTAAATGATAGAGCCTTGGGCTATAAAGGCGGAGGTCAGCTATTCGAACCTGGGCTGAGGTAAGATTTTGCATCTGTGACAGAGATGGGAATTTCCTTAGGCGAGTTTCGAGCACTTTACCGGCTACTCCCAATAATGTTTTCTTGCAGTTTTCCTAATTCGTAAGGTAAATACCGGAGTAGTATAGAACAACTTAAGACCTTCCGCAGGGGCACTTCTAAAAATCATTATGCTGATCACTCTGTAATTGTGCCCAAGCCTGTTGAGGGCCCAGAACAAGGGAGGTATAATAAATAAATAAATAAATTCCTCCGCTCTTCTGATCCTTCCAATACTTTCGATCTTTCCGATCCTTCCGATGCTTTCGATCCTTTTAATCCCCCCCCATCCTTTGAAACTTTCCGATCCTTCCAATGGTGCCGATACTTCCGATCCTTCCGATCTTTCTGATCCTTCCTATCCCTCCGATCCTTCTGATCCTTCCTATCCCTCCGATCCTTCCGGTCCTTCCGGTCCTTCCGATCCTTCCGATCCGTCCTATCTTACATGAAACACCTGTATCTGGTTGAAGCGTTGGAAGCGCTTCATTACGAGAGATTGCAGCTTGTGGACCGATATAGTTCTTTACTAGAAGAAGGTAACAATAATTGCAGATACTGTAATTAATTTGCCGTTTGTAACCGTTCCCGTAGTGATATATAAATTATCTTTGCAGCATCCGAAATATCTCTCCGATTGGGAGAGAAGCAAAAATATCATTACGCACTAACCACTTACAGTTTACTTGTGTAATTTTTAAGCGAGCAAGGTCGTGCTGTGTGTTTTATTAGCGCAGACCTTTTACGATTGACCCGAATTACGAATGTGGAAATTTTAGTCCGACTAATTAACTGTTGCAGTAAACAGCATCCGATTAGGACTTGGGTGGTTTCAAATGAAGCGCTCCTAACTGATTTGAATTTTCAGACCAATTACAGATTTTTATGACGTCAGGAGACCGCACAATTATAATTAATTAAAGAAGTGTTAAATTTTAAACGTTATCTTGATGGTCCCCTTACCGAAATGCCCGAATTAGCTAAATAGGTAAGCGCTTTACGTGGAAGTCATCTTGGTAGCAGAATTCGACATTAGCGTACTCATTGTTGATTTATTTTTTTTGCATTTCCATTTTAGAAGTAACTTTATTATACTTTCAATCCTAACACTGTAAAAACTAAGGCGGATAATCTAGTAACGTTACCTTACTG